TTTTTTTTTTTTTTTTTTTTTGTAAGATTCCTACTTATAAATTATCATTATATTACTCTTCAGATGCTGAATTGCGACTTCAGCAGTTAGAAGCGGAAAGAGAACACTTGGACGCCGAATTACGTGCCGCGCGCGAAAAGGTGAAACGCGCTGAAGAAGCTCAACTTGTACTAGAAGCACAAATCGTAACGCGTCCTCTAAGAGGAGCTGAAAGGATCCGACGTACTCAAAGCTTTATGCCGACGACGAAAGAACGACCATTATCCATAGAGAAAATCGACAGGCTTATGACATTACAGAAGAATGTATAATATGCGGCGCCATTAGTAGCTAAAAAATCCATGTGTTTATCGTCTGAGTTACATTTAAGTCTTCCACCAAATAGAATAACACAAAGAGCCTATAGAAACTATTATACGTTGCGGGGCAACTATATTATATTTTTGCGAAGAATGCGAGGAAATTCCATGCGAGCTTCGAATTCGATAGTTCCTTATTCTTGATGCCTTGTTTTATCCGTAATCTTAGCCAAAAAATATTTCAAATATTGCATGTACAAATTTTGTGTATACAGATTTTCCATTCTTCGTTATCCCGAAAATAATAATGTTCTTCATTTTGTGATGACAGATTCAATCTGACATGTTCATACATAACATACATATACATATGTGATATATGCGCACGTACACACAATATCGTAAACAAATATATATTTTTTTCGAACGCATTATCATAAAATGACAAAATATTTAATACAAATTTGTTTAATTCTAATTTGAAATATATACGCAGAATTATATAAAATACATTTAACTGATAAAATATTTGTTTACAATTTTAATCAAGATTTTCACGAGTGAATGAAAATACCAACTTTATTTGAATCGAATCATATTTTAATTCAAATTGGATGCATAATGTTTCACATATATTTATAAGAGCGACATATTTTTTGTATTGAGTATAATTAGACTGTTATTGATCAAACATATGACTTGACTTTAACGGTTGTACTGTTACGATTCTACATTCCTAATAGGAAAGTTTGTACCTTGTTAAGAATAAAACGATTTGAATATTAATTTGTAACTGTGTAAAATCTTTTATTCATCAAAAAATGCCAAAAAAAAGAAAAGCAAGGGAAGCAAGTTGGCTCGCATGAGTGATGAGGAACGTGCTCGCTACCTGCAGTATCGAGCCGAATTAGAATTAGAGGTCAAACGACGTAAACAACAATTGATTGCTGCTTTTACTAAGGTATATATCAAGCATAAAATAAAAATATAATGTAATACATTGTAATAAACTAGTTTTGAAATGTGTAGAATAAATTAAAACGTGAAGAAGCGTTCTCGCGATTAAACACTGCCAAGATCAATGAACAATGGCGATTCATTCTACGTCGAATAAAATGCAAAGAACTTCACGAAGACGTGAAATATCTATGGAACAATTTCGATCGTATGATAAAAACGAAAGATCTTGTGATACAGCGTTTGTATAGTGAGTTAGAAGCAGCCGATGTGAATCATAGAAGACTACAAGAAGCTCACATTCAAATGATGGATTTGATAATTGGTAAAATTGTATCGATAAATTTATATTATCTGTACCAATTATTAATTATTAATATTACATAGGAAGATATAAACAGAAGTGTATTCATCTACACGAGTCTTTTGCACACGAACGCAATCGTGTCATTTCGGATGAAACGAACAAATTAAACAGAGTACGAAAGAATTTAGAGCAGCATTGCGATCAGTTGCAGAACATAATTTTTGGGCAAGATAAGAAGATAGAGAATATATTAATGCAAACGAAAATCCAGAATGCCGTTAATATATATAATATCGTATACTTGGTATGAACTCTCTCTCTCTCTCTCTCTCTCTCTCTCTCTCTCATCATTTTATGTAAGATATTAATACGATTACTCTAACTGCAAATATTTTAGAAGGAGGATGCCTTGTCGCGCTTGATGCATTATGTTTCCAATGAGGTCGAGGAATTGTGGCGACAGCTTAGTGAAACGATAATTGAATATGAGATCAATACAGGAGACAAGAGAAAGCAATACGAATACTTAAAAGAACAGGACGACGCTCATCGTGCAGATGTGGCACGATATCCAAGATTACAAGTGCAATTACAAGGCATGATTAAGAATCTGAAACAGGACATACACGTATTATCACAGAAGAGAAAGCAACGTATAACGGAAATGAATAATCAGATTGTGCATATGAGGAAAAGAGCTAAAAATTTGAGACAAATGTTTTCTGTTAACCAAGTGCTGGATGCCACCCAATTGAAAAAATTGACTATTATCAATACCAGCGTTTTAAAAGTAAAAGAAAAAATAAATATTAAATTATCAAATCTAAATTATTTCAGCCAAGTTTTCTGACTGAAAAATTGAATGTCATATATAAGAAATTATTAGAACTTATATTTGTTATTTAAAAAGAAATAGCTATTTTAGAAATTCTTTGATTTGCAGAAATTACAGAGAATTTCAGACAAAGGATCATCGTTGCTCTCGTTGCTAAGAAGGTGCTCAAGTTTGGAACCATTTTCACTGACCGTTCAAAAGTACACTTTACGTGATACAGGATCCAGAAGAGCATTTATAAACTGCGTAAGTATTGTACAGTATGTCTTGTGTGTGTACGTGTACATCCAGCTTTTGAAAAAAGTTAAATACAATTATTTGCAGATGTCAGAACCATTTGACAAATTGGACAAATTTTGGGAACAATACAATTATATCAAATCTGACAATATCTTCATGAAAAAAGAATGCGTTAATCTGTCCTTCGAAAACAAACAATTGCGAAACACCTTGCGCACGTATCTCTTAACTGTTTCTAAAATCCCGACCGCACGACCACTTATATCTACTTCTGTATAAACGTAACTATATTGAATAGAAATAACACAGTAAATATTCTTTAAACTTTATATGAAAAAATCTAAAATATTCACATATTAAAAAAAGACACAAAATATATATATATATATATATATAGAAATTTTATATTAAAAATTTCTATTTTTATATAGTTAGCGTCTTTTAAAATCAAAACTGAATATCTTCGAAAAATTAAAAAATATATAATTTATGAAAATGAAATAGTTTTTGTAAGTATCCTTGAGAATTGTAATAGAGAATATTGAAAAGGAAAGAACAAACATTGGGTGATATTATTTATTCAACGGTGAGTAAATATACCTCCTCCTAATGATAAATATTTATATGGTCGAGCGCGAGTCCGGCCCCTTACAGGATAGAAAAATATTTTTTCCTTCGGTGCCATACTCTCGGTCTCCAGATAAATGTCGAAACATGCTCTCAATCGTTGTATTTGCGCTGTCAAAGTTGGGGGCTTGGTCCACATTACATTGACTTCCCTTTCGATATCTCTAATGATATCGGCGGACGCCGGCACTACTGGACTAACGCTTATATTAAATACCGGTGCTATCTTTGGGTAATCCGGTTTGATAGCAATCCTGGCCACAAGTTCGCCTAGAAAGCATTTTAAATCAAAACATGTAGAAACAATTTATATCTGTGAAAAAAATCTGATATAATAATGATCATACTACTGCCGCGACGAAGTATAGCTTCGTAAAAAATGTCTACGGATAATACTAATCCTCTCTGGTAAAATTCCGGTGAGGCAACATAGCTCGAGTAACTCTTCCACGTCATAGTTGAAAATCGATGCAGCGATGTCGAAATCTTTTGCGGCACAGGATCTGTCGTGCTGATGAAAATTGGTAAGTTGCCGGATTCCAATTGTCGTATTTCCATACATAAATCTAGTCTCGCTTTTATACGCCGTTTAATTTCTCTTAGAACACTCTCTACACAATTTTGTGCCAATTCTTGACTCGTAAGCTACAAGTAAAATTAATAAAGCTAAGAGTTGCAGTTGAAATACTTTACTCTAAACACATATATTAATGTTCATACAAAATATAAAATTTGTTTATATTGTTATAATTAATTTTGTATTATAAAAGCGAAACAACTATAATAAGTTCTTTTAATAAGCAAGATTGATCATTATCCTTAAATTTTATATCTATATTATAATCTTATAAACATGTGTACCTTTTGTTGTTGTTCGTTCTACGTCACATGAGACAAAATGTAGACCGGCC